ATGACGAACTAGTTACAGATCCCGACGGCTGAGCTATGCTTGCACCACCTCTCATTGGACAATCCCTTATAACGTGGCCCGGATAACCACAAGTATAACAAACACCTAACCTCATATAGCACTGCCCGGTATGCTGCTTACCACATTGAGTACATCGTAGCAAGGGTGGCCTCATCTGATTTGACTTACCCCTATACTGAGAACTTGAGGCCCTGAAATTCTAACCAGACCCTGAGTATGTGGAACGATCGAATCTCTTACTGCCAAATTGAGGGGGCACGCTAGCCGAGGGCTGGGATGGATACCTCAAGTACTGCTGCCTCTGACCACCTCGAAACTCACCAGAAGAACCCGAAGGCCTTGCTCTTTAATTCTGGGCCCTATCATGCTCATGATCGGTCCTCTGTTTCTGTTGACGCTCCTCTACACCCTAAGCGTATGCCTGAATACGAGAAATATCCATGTCTGGCTGAAGTGAGACTGACATACAATCGTTAAACAAGTAAGGCTCTAATCCCATCACGAACCGGTGAACCCGATCCTCCATCTTAGATACAATAGTGGGAGCATACCTAGCCAATGAATCAAACTGAAGACTGTACTCCTGAACACTCATGTTACCCTACCGAAGGGTCAAGAACCTATCAACTCTGGCCCGTCTAAGCTTTGGTGGCAGATAATGACGAAGAAAAACTTATATAAACTCTTTCCATACCGCTGGAGGGGCATCCTCACCTCTAGACAATTCCCAAGACTCATACCAATTAACTGCAACATCTCGGAGTCTATAGAAAGCTAGCTCAACTGACTCAGTCGCAGTGGCCTTCATTACCTGTAACGTCCTCTGCACTCTATTAATAAATATCTAAGGGTCCTCGTTTGAATCTGCCCCAATAAATACTAGAGGGTCTAAATTAATGAAGTCACGTCCCGTCGCACTCACGGACCTGTTTGCGTGACCAATACCTACTTCCTGATGTCGAGCCTGTGCAGTTACTAATCAGTCAATAACTGAATAACATCTCTATCTCCTGACCCGGTGCATCCGACTGAGGTGTTGAATGTACAGGGGTGGGCGCTTGAGCTGGTGCCCCTCAAAGCTCTTCCGAAAAGGGCGGGGTATGTGAAGTCTGAGATGGAACCTCACCATGAGACTCTCCCCGAGCCCTGGTAACTCGTGGCGCTCAACTAGTTGTCTCACCAGCCATAGACTTTCCCTTCTGGGTGGCCGTACTCTTTGGAGGCATCGTTGAAAATATAACATATCTTTAGGAACATGAATTCTTGCATTGCACGATTTGAGATAAAAAGAGAGGATAACACCCTATATGTCCTGTAGCCTCATATTTATAAGTGTGGTGCACAACATACCCATAAACCCACACTTATAAACAAGACTCTACTAGACATGGTCTGAAGAGAACCCTAGGACAGAACTACTCTGATACCACTTTTGTCACGACCCAAAACATGGGCCACGACGGGTGCCTGAGTCCTACCTGTCAAACACCCCTAAGCATGCAACTAAGATATGAACCTGAATAACATCTGCTTCATTACGAGATTAACATACGTAAAGGAAAACTGCCATCAAGGCATATGTACATATACATGCAGAATACAGTGGGCGAGCCAGCAAGGCTGCTATAGACAATTATACATCCAAAACCAAAAGCCAACAAGGCCACATACAACCCAACTAGACATACTATCCACAGACCTCTAACAGAAACATAACTGTACAACGATGGGACTGAGCCACGTCATATCCATATACATATATATATATATATATATACGAACATATCGTACCAAAATCAAAAGCAGCTCCAGATCAAATGGAGCACGCCAACTCTCGCTGATCAGGGATCCTAAGAAGGTGGTATGTCAACTTGCCTACCTATACCTGCGGGCATGAAATGCAGGCCCCGTAAAATAGGGCGTCAGTACGAAAAATGTACTGAGTATGTAAGGCATGAAAATTAGTACGTAAAAGATATAGATGAAACATGGAATACAGAAACACATCTTTAAATCTGAATAACTTTGTAAATTCTGAAACGTTTATAATGTCATGCACGTGCATATAAATATCGTGCCATGCATAGGTATGGGTGTACATAATATCATCAAGCCACTGAGGGCATCCCATCATATCGTCTCAGCCACTATGGGCAACATCATCAACATATACCAGCTGATGAGGTGGTGGTGCGTATATAATGCCGTAACTTTTTCCCATATCCCATATACATATATTTACACATATACGCGTATATAACGTCATCTAGTCATGGGTCAATGCACATGTATAAATGAGTGAAATGCATGAAAAATACGTAATAATCTCAATATTTTTTTCGGATAAACTTTTTCAACTGTGTATTATTCTGAGACCCATGAAAAAAAGATAATAATAATTCTCATGGTGAATCAAGAATATAGACACCCCTACTATTTCTATGAATAGAGTAATTTATAGAAACTGAGTATTTGCTCGTTTCTTCAGTATAATTTGGATCATCCCAAAAGAAAGAAGGGAGGACCTTAACATACCTGGAGTAGGGAAAACTCCGTATAATATTTTGTTGGAAAACCTTCATTGATTGAATGAAATTGGCCTCCGCTCCTTAGAAATTCATGGACGAAAACTTGTTTCTAGTTCTTAAAAACATTGGAACAAAACAATTCTGGTTTCTTGAAATTGAAAGGAAAACGTTTTTGAGAATTGGAGGGGAACACGTTTCTGTCCTTTTGAAGTTTGGAAAGAATTGAATTCATTTTGATTCATAGTAGACTTTAGCATCTGACCTAGTTAGTCATCACTTTTCATTTATGACTAGGTTGCCATCTAGGCATAAGTGACTTATTAGTCACATTCTTGACATGGTGGATGCTTGCCATGTGTTTGGGAATAATTTATTAATCATTTATCCACTTATTAGTTAATTGGGTAATGTTCTATTACCCGGTAATTAATCAATTACTTGCATAATTTAAAAATTATCACAAATTACTTAAAATTCTATTTATTTTTAAAATACTTCATATATATATTAAACTACCGTGGTCATATGGTACCTTGTATGGTACTAGTTCATAATTATCGAGTATTATCGCTCGACCCGTATTTTATTCCAAATTGGCCACTTTCAACGAAACTCGTTTTCTTCAATCTGTGTACTCCCTTATACTTCATAACACTTATTTATTGCTTGTTATAAATAGCGTAAGTACGTTAACGTCAAGATGATCTCATCCCCGAGTCTACGTTGGTTAACGTACACAAATTCGAGATGTAACATCAAATCAAAGATATAATCGTAGGATTTAACCAAAGCCAAGCAAGAAACACTTACCCAAATCAACTCCGCGAAAATCCCCTCAAGAATCTCCCAAATCTGTGATCTCTAGCTCAAAATATGAAAAATGGGCTCAAGCCCTCAATTTTGAATTTAACACTGTCTGCCCAGATTTTCTTCTTCGCGAATGCTACCGTCCTCTCGCGTTCGCGTAGACCAACTCGGACTGCCTCTCCAGTTTACTCTTCGCGAACGCGACAACTGCTTCGCGAACACGATGCTTTACCAACTCAAAACTTCGCAAATGCAACCATCACATCGCGAACGCGTAGAACAAGGACATGCGGCCCCAATTGCCTCACTCCTCTTTCGGTACGCGGCACAACTCACGTGTTCGCAATGCACACACTTCCATACCCTACGTGTTCGCATCTTCTCCTTTGCAAACACGTAGAACAAAAATTTACCATCTCAGAAACACTTTTCGCGAACGCGAGGCCCCTCTCGCGAATGCGTAAGAGGAAACCAAAAACAAAATGCAGCAGCAGATCAGCTATCTCACCAAGGCCAAAAATGATCCGTTAACCACCTGAAACTCACTAAGACCCTCGGGACCTCAACAAAACATATCAACACGTCCCATAACATCATACGAACTTAGTCGAATCTTCAAATGACCTTCAACAACACCAAAAACACGAATTACACACTGATTCAAGCCTAATGAACTTTGAAATTTTCGAGTTCTACAAACGACGTCAAAACCTATCAAATTAAGTCTGATTGACCTCAAATTTTGCACACAAGTGATAAATGACACCACGGACTAGTCCAACTTCCGAAAATCTATTCTGAACCCGATATCAGAAAGTCCACTCCCGATCAAACTTTCCAAATTTCTAACTTTTGGCATCTCAAGCCTAATTCTTCTACAGTCCTCCAAAACGCAATCCGGATGCACTCCTAATTCCAAAATTACCTAACGGAACTATAGAAATTCAAATTCGAGGTCGTTTACACATAAGTCAATATCTGGTCAACATTTTCAACTTAAGCTTTCAAATAAGAGACTAAGTGTCTCAATTCATTTTGAAATCACTTCGGACCCGAACCAACTAACCCGGTAAGTCATAATACAGTTGTAGAACACAAAAGAAGCAGAAAACGGAGGAACTGGGCTACAACTCTCGAAACGACCGGCTGGGTTGTTGCAGATCAACACCCACCTGTTATTTCAAGTAGAGACACGTTAAATGCATCTACAGAGGTTAATCCTATTTGTGGTGAAGTAAGAACGGAGGGGCCTACTACATCGAAGGTGTCGTATATCATACCACCTAAAACTGACGAGGATGTACCCATAGAAGTACATGTATCACAATTTGAGTTGGCGGATGAGTTCCTTCCAAGTCAAATTCCAGAAACTAGAATTATGATAGTCAAGCAGCAAAACTTGTTGATTCAACCCCCTTACCCTCTTATAGGACTCAACATCCAAATCGATGATATTCTTCGCCTTACGAGTCAAACTTCGGCTCCGCCGGTTAGTAAATTATTATACAAAAAATATGTATTATAAAGTTATGATATATTTCCCCATGATAACTATAATTAAATGTTGCTATTAATGACTTCGATGAACCACAAGTACCTCAGTAAAGTTGACTCTCATATTTTACCAAATTTACCCCTTTGAAGATGACCATTAGTAATTCGGGAATACGAGAAATGGATTCGTGATGATATTCTTGCTAAACATGATCAAAAGTAAGCTTTTTTTTTTTATCTATATAATATGGTTTTATCAATTATTATGTATGTATATAATGTTTTTTCCAATTCCTTGTAGAAAGGATAAGAAAGACCATTACAAGAAAAGCAAGTCAACATTGCCTATAATGTTGGATTTTGGAGTTGATGAAGTCACTTCAAAAAATTGGTTTTACCTTTCTCATTTGACGGTAAATTATTGAATGACTATGTAAGATAAAACCCTTGTACATTCAGTTAATTTATATTTCTCTATTTAGTTTGTCTAATTTTGTATTTCACAGTTTTATTAATGACATACAAATTATGTATTCATTATATTCATATTTTTGAACACAGTGTATTCCGACGTATTCTATATTAATAGAAAGACAATTAAATACTATATTTAATGTTTGTGACTGTTTTATCTAGTACTCATTAAATTCAATAAATTCTGTGAATTCAGTGTATTTAACTATATTCAGATTTCATTTTGTTTCACTGTTTTATCTAGAAATTTTTAAAAGCAGTATGTATTCTTCCTTAGGTATTTAACTGTATGCCTTATTGAGAGTAGTATTTTATTTATCAGTATGCATTTAACTGTATGCAAAGTGAAAACTCAAATGTATTCAGCAGTATGTATCTAACCATACACACTATATTCAATTTGTTTTAAGCAATACTGACTTCTATAATCAGTTTCTTCAACATACAATACCTGTATATATAAAGTTTCTTCAATGAAGTTTGTTTTCCTTGTTTTAATTCAATGTACTGACACTATGTATTCAACTTTATATATAGCATACTGATGTCATATTTTACTACCTAATAAAGAAAGGCATGTACAACCAAACCACCACATTCAAATATACAACTGTTGATTGTATATTCAAGACAAAAATTGCTAAAATCTTCGACAGGTATGCTGATACAGATAGTAATGCAAGTGCAGCCAAAGAAGAAAATATTTTATGTGAGTACATAAGGGGCTACAGATTTCTAGCTAATGTACCATGGCATACGGTTGCCAATGTCTTGATACTAGTCAAGTTGCAGGACAAACTTTATTGGATATTGGCAGTTGTCTCATTCAAGAAAAGATGTATCAATGTATATATACCGATCAACAGGTCATGATGCCTATGTGGGTTTTGAGATAGATAAGCTTGCTAAGCTTGTACCTCTATATCTATCGATCAATGGTTTTTACAGATATAAGCAAGACATAGATTAGTCTCGTGAACCAGCATACAATGACAAGGCACAAACTGATCTTTTTGATGTTGTATTCATTTCGAATCTGCCTCAACAAAAGGCTGGGAGCATGTATGTATTCAATTCTCTTACTTCTATCATTTATAACACTAATAATATGAATTATAATTAATTGTATCAATCTACATTTTCAGGGATTGTGGGTTGCATGTCGCGGCATACGTAGAGTATCCGAGCACATTTGGTTTGGTTCCACAAACAACATTTGATGCCAATTTACTCCGTCAAAGATATGGTGCCCTCATTTGGGACTATGCTATGCGGAAGATAGACCCGGTGCCATAAGCGAGAATGAAGCACCCTCAAAGATTCTTAGGCAAATCACAGATTCGGATACTTCTATGAAGATAGTTTTAGAATAGTTTTCTGTGAAGATGTATTTTGAAGATGGTTTCTCTGAAGATAGTTTATGAAGATAGTTTTTTTAACATAGTTTTCTGTGAAGAATAGTCCTTTGTGAAGATAGTTTTTGAAGCTTATTAAAGAACACATGATGGTTTTAGTCAACCTATTTTGTTTTTAGAATACATAACTTTTTTGTCTATAAGATGTTACTGAAGGAATACATAACAGCCTCCAAGTTATGTTCTCATCAGTTTATTCAATTTATCTAAAGCTTCAATGTGTTTCACTAAATTATCCAACTATACGTATTCATCAGTATGTATTCAGTGTAGTCCAATATATATTTTTATGTATTCAGATATATTTTTAACTAATATCAGTTATGTTATTCCCATATATATTTAGTAGTAAATTTGCAATGCAAGTTATGTATTCACTTTATGCATTGTATTCACTATAGTTATTGTTTTCTATGTTTTCAATTTATTCACTATATTTTCATTGTATTTCATGTATATTAGTGTCTTCTACTTTTTCAATCTATTCACTCTATTTAACTATTTTCAATGTAATTCTATAATTCAAAGATTCACTCTGTTCCATTATTTTTTTCAGCAATATATATTCAACAGTATATCTCCAATGAATTGTAGAATATATTCATATCTTTTTAATTAATATAATTTATGTATTCAGATTTATATATGTATTTAACTATACATGTGGTATGTATTCAATGCATTGCACTTTTGATGACCTGTTATACCTCATTTTTGTATATAAATCAATTTGTAAAGATATCACTAAAAAAAAATTTAGTGATCTGAAATTAAAAATTTTGATACACCAATAAATCAAAATGTAATATAAAACTTGAACAAATATGTAACATATTGTTATTGCAATAATTGAATATAGAACATGAACTAACTCCTACGTGGAGACTTTTTACAAGTATGCTTATTATGTCCTCCCTGACCACATATACTATATGAATGTTAATTTTTCTTCTGAAACAATTCACTGAACGGCTTATCGCGCTTCTTTTTGGCCTTCCAGGAGGTCTTTTCCATTTGGGTGGTAAGACAACTTCCTCTGACATATGTGTTGGTATATTTTATTCACTTCGGTCGGGCAGTGGATACACTCTTACCTCGTATGTCATTACAACACTCTTTGGTTTGTAATAGTCCTAGCAAAAATCTTCTAGCATTATAAACTTGCTTTTCAAGATAGCCCAAGCATGTGGGCATGATAATTCATCAACTTGGAACCGCCTACAATTGCACTTTTTCTCTAGGAGGCAAACAGTGTAAGCCTTCCTTCATCGTTCACCATATGCAAGTGTTCAGTCAATGGTATAATCTACATTAAATAGAGAAATATACTGTCACGACCCCAAATCGGACCCGGTCGTGATGGCGCCTCTCGTGAAACAAGGCCAGCCGACACATACCCTCAAACCATTTAAGACAGTTATAATAATTGATTTTAAGTCATAAATAAATTATAAATCCCAAAATAAAGAGTGAAACAGAACAATTGCGGAAACAACACAGCCTGACATTGGGGTGTTACTAGTCATAAGCATCTAAACATCCGTCTAAGAGAATGAAAAGACTACACAGTCTAGTACAAAGCTAGTACAAGGAAAATAAAGATAGGAAGGAGAAGCACTAGGCTGCGAATGCCGAGCAGCTACATAGTCAACTCCGAATAAGCCTGCGGTGGAAGCAAATCAACCCTCGCTAGCATGGCCTGAGACTCTTTAATCAGCACACAAGGTGCAGGGAGTAATGTGAGTATGCCAACTCAGTAAGTAATAAAAGTAAAGGCATCTGAGCGATAAGAAAACACGTAAAACATAGCAAAATGCTACAAAGAGGCAGTATAATACCAGAACATTGTAATAAAATAGTAAAAGCTTGTAGAAACATCTTAGTTCAGTAAAACCCTCTTTAAAACATCTTTTAGCAGCTTAAACGAGTAAATGAAATTAGGGAGAAAAGATAGATACATAAATCAGCCCCTCGGGCAAAATACCAATAGAATCAGCCCCTCGGGCTATCTCACATTCACTCGTATCAGCCCCTCGGGCAATAACATGGAACAACATCAGCCCCTCGAGCTATATCACATCTCACACTGGGTACCCGCACTCACTGAGGGTGTACAGACTCCAGGAGGGGCCCCTTACGGCCCAAGCGCAATTATAAGCCATCTCGTGGCATAATCAAACATGCTCTTGGCCTCATATCAAGCCACCTCGTGGCGTAACAACTCAGGCCCTCGGCCTCATAATCATGAATCAGCACAATACTGCTACGGCGCACAGCCAGATCCCATAATAACCTCACAACACTGGCCCTCGGCCTCACTCAATCAGAAATCTCTCAAAGTCACTCGGGCACAGTAAAATATGATGCTCAACCCAAGATATCATTTAAGATGTCAGAACAGAGTAAGTATGGTTGAGTTGTGAAAACAGTAGAATACAGCATGACTGAGTACAAATATGAAGTCAAAACAGTGAGGAATAGTAGTAAAAATCCCTAAAGGTCCAAAACAGTTGGTACGAGGCCGTAATATGGCATTCAGCCCAAAACATGATGATAGCAAAAAGTTTTCAATCAAATATGTGGTTAAACAATCATACGGGATGGACTAAGTCACAACCCCTAACGGTGCACGCCCCCACGCTCGTCATCTAGCGTGTGTGTCACCTCAAAATAGCACAATAATGTGAAATCAGGGGTTTCATACCCTTACGATAGTATTTACGATCATTACTTACCTCTATCCGGTCCAAACTCTAGCCAGCGATGCCTTTGCCTCTCGAATAGGCCTCCGAATGCTCCAAATCTAACCAAAATCAGTACATAACCATCAAAATATACTAAGGGAACAACGCTCACTCGAAAAAAATCAAATTACAACACAGATCCCAAAATTTACCAAACCCGGCCCTCGAGCCCACGTCTCGGAATCCGACAAAATTTACATCAATGAATCCTTATACCCCCACGAGTTCATTCGTACCAAAAGTACCAAAATCCTCCCACAAATGACCCCTCAAATCCCTAATTCTAGGTCTCCAATTTTTCAAGCCCTAACTTCCAATTTGCTACTGATTTTCCCATAGATTTCAAGCTTACAACGTTAAAAATCATAATGAAAACGAATTTAGGGACCAAGGACCTTACCTCTAAGAAACCCTCTTGAGTTCTCCCTTCAATTAGGGGACTTTTACTACTATTCCTCACTGTTTTGACTTCATATTTGTACTCAGTCATGTTAACAGGTGCATACAACCTAACCCACTTTTCGTACCAGCTAATTTCAAGTATTATTTCACCCAAATATCTACCTTCTCCATCTTTTCCATTAGACTATCAAATTCATCCTGAGTGTATGCTTTTGCCATCGAGAAGTATATCTCGCTCAACTTTGAATGACTCTTTTTGAATTTCTTATATACGTTGTTCCATAAATGCCATATACAAACAAGATGGGGTACCGTAGGATACACTCTCGCTACAAATTTGATGATGCTCTCATTCCTATATGAAACGGTGCATATGTTTTCTATCTCACCATATGCTTCCTTGAATTACTCAAAGAGTCACGACCAAGCAGCATCATTCTCTGAATCAACAATACCATAAGCTAGTGGCATTATGTGACCTATAAATACAATTTCATACATATATATATATATATTAACAAGACTCACCTGCACCATCCAACGTTCTAGCTGAGACGAATGTCCCTGTGTATGCCAATTTTAGGTGGCTACCATCCACAACCACGATGAGTCTATAGAGATCGAACCCCTTTATAAAAGCATACAACGATATATACAAATACATGAACTCATTTTTTGGTTATTTTACTATTCTAATATGCGAACCAGGATATGTCATATCCAGTGTATATAAGTACCTTGGCAATTTATTGTATGAATCTGTCGGTTCACTTCTCAAAAAATTCATTGCCTTTTCTTTAGCCCGTCACGCCAACATGTAACTAACATCTACACCAAAGTCTGATTTTACATCATCAATTATATCCTTTGGGGTGTTTTCCTCTTATAATTAGTAAATTTGGACCTAATCATACCACCAATAAGGCTGCTACTTGCTTGACGTTGCTCATACACCTTATCCTTTAACGGACATGTATACTTATCATTGAACTCCCTCACTTTGAACATTTGTGATTTGTTAATGCTCTGAAATACATAATAATGTATAGCTGTAAATACATTTATGATTTACATACAATCAGTTATGTATGGATATAAAATATAAACAGAAACTACAACTGATTTGTCTACGTACACCCGGTATTTTCATTTGGCAACAAAGTTGTCTATATGAAAACATACAGTGAAATACAATGTTTGTTTATTGAATACACTATAACTTTTTTCAATACATATGAATAAGTGTTACATATGTATACATAATTATAGAATACACTCATATACATGTTAATACAGTGATGCATATGTATACATAATTATAGAATACACTCATATACATGTTATGAATACAGTGATGCATATGTATACATAATTATAGAATACACTCATATACATGTTATGAATACAGTGATGCATATGTATACATGATTAGACAATACACTTATATACATATGAATACAGTGTTACATATGTATACATGATATAATTGTTTTAGCAAACTCGGGTACAGAAACACTAATACATGAAAAATATAACGAAGGAAATCATATATTGTCAAATACATATATTATACATGTTGTATTTTAAAAAATTCTGCCATGAATACATCATACAAAAATTCAGAATACATATCAATACAGTTGAATAAAACATGTTGTTCAACATGTTGTAAGTAAGAACACTTAAACCTGATAGCATTAGACTTAGCAACCCGGAATTGAAACCTTTTAGCAATTGCATAATGCTCCATCACAGCTTTCAATGTGGCCTTATCCTTATTTACTTGTCCAACCATAACCTCTATTTGGTTAGTTTATGAAATAATCAAATCCCTTTCCAGTTCGAACATATCAATTGGTTCACCTGAATTGACTGACTCAAGAGCAAGTGTATCAATTGTATCAAATTTATTCACTACCCCATCTATTCCGTCTATTCACATTAGGTCGCCTTGAATTAAACTACCTCCAACTACAATTTCTTTGTCCATTGTTGTTATACACAAAGGATACATCCCGAATTCTCTGTTCTCTTTTTTCAACTCTATATACACCCTGAAACCTATGTCATTGTGTATTTCCATTGGCGTGCAATTTTCTTCCACTTTGTATTCAATTTTAATTGACTTTGAGCTCAAATCTATGGCAAGTTGCTTCGAAATCGATGCTACAAAATCATTGTACGTCGCAGACTCCTTTATCAATATCCCCTCAATCGAATAATCGACATAGTTATTCACACTGTTCCACTTGCCAGAATGATGAAGTAGCACTGTTAAACTTTACATCTATAAAATCAAATTTCAGTATATTTTTGTATATACGTGTATGAATTTCGAACAATATTTGCGTGCTAGAAATTCCACGAATTATACCAAAAAAAAGAATGAATTGAAATCTCTGAAGATTGCTCTGTTTTGTGGTGTTTTTCGGCTGAGATTTTTTTCTATAACTAGAAATACATGTTTTGCGTGTTATAATTAAGTTTGTTGAGTTATATTAGGATTCTATCGCGTTAATTGATCCACTTACCGTTTTTAAAAAGCTAAAGAGACCTTTTTTCCGCTGATTTACGTTACTGTATTCGCGAATACATATGAATACAGTCTATGTGGTTGCTGGAATTCCCTGATTTCCGCCGAGTTTTGCTATTGTATTCATGAATACATTAGCTTAAATACATCGAATACACTCTATAATAACTGAAATCTAGATATAGGAAGTAATTTAGTAAATGGTAGCTATAGCTAGTTAATAACCACCAAACAATAGTGGTTTCTGGAAATTTGTTTAACCCAACCTTAGTCCATTAATTTTAAGGAGGACAGGCTGGAGTAAAAATAGCACGGTATAGCCAGTTTTCGGACTGGTCATTCAAAAATAGCCAGCGTTTACCAAGTCAATGAAAAATAGCTACTATTTTACTGCAACGGAGACCGGTCCAACATAATATACTGGAGTTCGGTGCACCTGTATATGAACTCCAGCATATTATGCTGGACCGGTATACTTTGCTGGCTCCAGTATAATATACTGGAGACTGGAGCACCGATGCTCCAAACTCCAGTATATTATGCTGGACCGGTATACATGCTGGAACTCCAGCATATTATGATGGAGTTCTAGTGTACTTATGCTGGAACTTCATCATATTATGCTGGAGTTCCAGCATACTTATCCTGGAACTCCAATATAATATGCTGGAGTTCAAGTATAATTATGTTGGAACTCTAGCATAATATACTGTCGTATTTTCCGGGTTTTGAACAGTATTTTCGCTCAGATTTATCTTTACATAAAAAGTGACTAAATTTCGATTACTTTTGAAACTGTGCTATTTTTGAACGACCAATTATAAATCTGACTATTTTTGAATTTCTCCCTAGGCTGGATCAGTCTGCTAATGGACTGGGCTGGGTCAGACATGGGCGGGCTAGGTTTAGTCTGACATGTTTAGAAACTTCCATTACATTCTATGCATACAGTGCATCTGCTGCCCCTAGGGGGTAAAATGATTGGGTAAAATTGGAGAGAATAACAAGGGCAAGAAGCCAACAAGTAGGTTAAAAGAGTACTGTAGAGTGGGAAGTTGGTAAATGAGTTACATCATGCCGTAATGGTCCCAATTCCCAACTTGCATTCATTATTTATCTCTTCAGTTGTTGGGGACTGTTGCAGCTCTCTCAGATTTCATCAGTCACCACTCACCTGTGATCAGCATTCAGCCCCATGCCTGTTTCCTTTTCTCCAACCATCTTCATATACCTTCCTCTGCACTTTCAGATTTTATTACTCTTCGGGACCAGTATATTTCATTTGCTTTCTTTCTAGTACTACTACAGGTTCATAAAAGAGCAAGAAACTCAGCACCATATAATTGGTACTAAGACTATTAGCCCAACATTGCCAATTAGCTCCTCCTAACATTTTCAACAGACTAACAACTTGTTGAGAAAAAATAAAAAATAAAATCCATCTTTTCTGTAGCGCTAAATTCATAAATGATGCGAGACAACTTAACATGTTATCAGAACAAAACAAACCGTGTTTCTGAATTCGACTTTGTGTTTGAGTAATTGTAACTTTCTTGAAATAAAAAAATTCTTGTTAAAGTACAACATTTGTGGGTGAAAGTTGAATATTTGAAAACTTCACTTGAAATGCACATCTAAACCATATCTTCAAAAAGTTGAACTTGGAAACTCAACAAAGTGTGATAACCACCAACTTCATAAAATTATTTGCAAGTGCAGTTTAAAAATTCTATGAACAAATGCAGGAAGTGGGTAAACCCATATATTAGTGATATAATTTACCATTTATATGGAACTTAACAAGAACACAGGGTAGTTGCTACACGAGGCCACTAGCCCAATTTTTCATGTTTGATCCGTATCTTTTTTTTTTTTTTAATTTCATCTAGGTTATCACACTTATTAAACAATAGCATAGGTAGAATAATTTCTTGTATAATACTACACCATGATAGTTTCTAGCTGAATTGTTTTAAGATGAAAGCCCGGTCAAAATAGCTACACTTGGCCAATCAACAAATGATGAAAGAGGACATCCCAAAGAAGAGAAAAGAATCTACTCAATTGAGGTCATTGGTTATGATGATGTGTGCATTATTATGGGATTGATTAGTGTATATTATAATACCATAATCAAAGATAATGCCAACAGCTTTACTCTAACATCATCAATCAACATCATTATATAAACTTTCAAAAAGCATACTACAAAGTAGTGTCAGACACCATAATCACCTACTACATCTTTTCTTTCAAATAAAAATTCATCAATCACTTCAATATTATCTCATCAGCTTTCCTGTTCCTCAACAAAGACATTTTCTTACCCCTAAACCAAAAACAAAAAAATAAGGCAAAAAAATGACAGATACATCTAAACAGATTCAATTATGCCAATTTACAAAAAACAGTTTTTCAATCTGCAATAGTCACTCAAGTCTTAACACCTTCTCTTCTTTTTTGCAAGTTATACTACAGATAAAACTTGCCATCAGCCTTGAGTGACTCAGTTACTATCAGGAAATGATACCATATACATCATCGGTCTCTGGTTTATCCATTCCCTCTTCCAACATCATTTCTTTGTATCTGCAATCACTGCTACAAAATGCCTTCTCACCTCTAAAAAGAACACAGTACAGAAATACAACTCAGGAAATAATGCATCACATATTGTTCTTACAAAAAGGAAAGTTTCCAAAGTTTTATCAATGTATTACTAATCTTTAAGGCACAAAATAAAAGATTGTAGAACAAGATGTGAAACTCTAGCTGATAACTACTCTGATCTTTTGCAGAATACAGAGCCCTACAAAATTTCTCAATGCTACTAGAAATTTGCAAAGAGAATGTCCAGATTACATGTCCTAGAGCAAACTGTTCTAAAAAGGTGTATCAAACAACAATTAAGTAATGAAAAAGAAAAGCAAAAATCTCACCCTCATGAGTCATACCAGATTAATAAACTTATAAACTGAAATTATCAAGTACTTTAAAATAAACCATGAAACTTAAACATATACGATACTTTAAAATAGTCTACTATTTTAAATGGTCTTTTACAGAATACAGAACCTTTGGAGAAACTCTAAAATGCTACAAGAAATTTGCTAAGGGTGTGTCAAGATTACCATGCCCAAGAAACAGTACTAAAACAAGTCTCAAATAACAATTAAATCATGAAAAGGGAAAAATCTCAACCTCATGACCACATTAATAAACTCATAAACAGATCAAAATATGAGCATAACTATAACCCCCTAGGCAAATTTGAAATTTTAAAATAGAAAATTTGGATTACCTGTACATGTAAATGTCTTTCCCTAATCCAAGATTTTTCTTGCAAGAGTGACAGAAGCTGAGAAAGCTCTCAGAGGGATAGGGATAGCTCATCGGCAGACTGGGAAAATGCTCATTTTCTTTTCTTGAAGCAGAGTACTTAACAACACCACAACAGCTCTCAACAATGCAATCATCAAATATGTGAGTGGTTCTTGGATTTGGACCATATGAAATGACACAAGTATAGTCCTCAGAAAGCTCCATCTCAGCGGCAGAGATACTACTGAATGCCCCTGGTGAATTTGGGATGTCCATGTTAGAATTTGAAGACCCAAATGGAGATTTCTTCATATGAGATGGGGAGAAAGAACCTAAATGAGAATTTCTGGTCTTGATACCAAAATCACCAGGAGAAGGTGGTGAATCAGTAGGGGAATGAAAAGAGGGAGGCAAAGTAGTAGGGATCTGAATCTTCAACTGTGAGCCAAAAACAACCATTCTGCTCACAGGATTCAATTCTTTGGAATCAGATTTTTCATCAATGAGAGCATCAACAAGGCCAAGACCAACCCCTTTTGAGTCAAGTTTCTCCCAATGAACTCTACTATCTGGTTTAGGGGATCTTGGAGTGTTTGAGTTAGAATCAGACCAAAAAGGGTTTCTAAAAGCAGATATAGGTTTACTACTATCAAGTATTGAAGTAGGACTCATTATAGACTCAGTATCAGGAAAGCCCTTTGTAGCAAAACCAGTGAACAACCTCGGTGAACCAAAAAAAGAGGAAGAGGTTTTTCTACAGTTATCTGTTGGAGATGGTATAGAACCATAATCTGCCATTATAACTTTGTTACTGGATATTCTTGAACTCTTCTTTAGCACAGAGATCTTTTTTTTCCTGCACCAAAATCAAAGCAAAGTTTCAAACTTTCCACTTCAAGATCATCAAGAAACAAGTCAAACTTTATTTTCAACAAAGAATACACACCTTGATTGGTTTCAGCTTGTATCCACCATTAACATAAACTCTAAAGCTCAAGATTCAATTTTTAACCAACCCCAGAAACTGTTTTCTTTGTCTTGGCAACTTACAGCTCTACCATAAAGTAAGGATCCAAAGAAGAGAGAAAAAAAAAGGCAACTTTTTTTCAGCAAGAATCCCTCATATCTGAGAACCGACATGAAACCTCAATAGTCATCATCAAGACCAAACATTTACACAAGCAACAAAAAAGAAAATAATGTCACACAAAGGCCAATAGGTCTTTGGTCATCTTTTTCTCTCACTTTGCTTTTTCCCCTCTTTTGTTTCTTTGTGAATCCTCACACTGTATTATTTCAGCAAAAGATTTCTTTGCATCATAAAGACCCAAAGCCTTATAAGCTTTTTGGCCCAGCCGTAAAAATTCGTTTATCTGTGAGAACTATTCTTTTTAAAAAATATTTTTTTCAAAAGTACTTTTGGTGAGAAGCATTTGGTTAATTAGTTTAAAAAATATTTCTGAGCAGCAATTAATATTTGATCAAGCTTTAAAAAACTGCTTCTAAGTGTATTTTTCTCAAAAGTGCTTCTCAAAAAAATACTTTTGGAGAGACTACTTTTTTCTCTTCTCCAAAATTGCTTCTAATTCTCATTAAAAGCACTTTTTCTTCGAAAAGTTAGACCAAACGCCTCAATTTTTGAAAAAGCATATTTGACCAAAAAAAAACTTGGTCAAATAGGCTATTACATGCAGACAAAGACGTTTATATCAACAGTTATTCAACAAAAACAAAATTTAAATAATCCCCTTAAAAATAAAATAAAAGTCTAGAAAGTCTGATTCACTGTTCTAGTGCTCCTATTAGTAGTACTTTTTAACTCTCTACCTCGTAGTGGGTTTTTGTCCTTTTTCCCAACCCACTACACTTTAGGCTCTTTTTTCACCCTTTATCCACCCTTTGGGCGTAGGTGTACAACTGTGGTACATTGGGAGATTATTTGTACAACCTTTACCAGCCTTTTTTACTTTTCCATTTCTTTTGTGAAACAAAAAATATTAGTGTGTCTAATTGAAGACGAAATTTAAGAAATTAAAATTGACATATTACTATGCATCGCAATATTCTGCAGCATTAAGAGCAACGGTCCGTTATAGGAAATTTGGTATTTATGTCCATCGTTACATCTTCATTACTGACCCTCATAATTGACATTAAAGGAGGGCACAATCATCGGCCTCCTTCCGTAGACACAATTATAAATAGTGAGTTTAGTTATCATTGTAGAGGATACGAATTTTCTGGCAAACTTACATTACATTCTATACAAAGCTTAATACAATTTTACTTTCTTGCTTTTTGATTCCATCAAAATTGTGCCCGGAAATCTTGTTCCCGGAACTGTCATCTTTGATGTTTCGTCTACATTTCAAGGCTAAATATTGCTTAATTCTTTATTTATTCTATTATTTTCAAGATCAAATTAATTCACTTGTCTAGAAACCACGTATAAATTCAACTGTACCGTTTTATGGGTAAACAGTTTGGCGTCCTTCGTGGGGCCTAGACAACCATGCAATTAAATTGATCCTTGCCTTTTTACTAACGTGCTTTGAGTATTTTTGTCTTAGAAAAAATCATAAGAAACGGCAGATAATGTTGTTAACAACATACATAACCCCGAGGTTCAAGAAGATCAGCCTCACTTCGAGAACTCAATCAGTGACACCCACAACGAGGGGAATGACGCTACATCGGTGCATGACAGGCAGTATCCTCGACATGTTCGACAGAGGACTCCCGATGATGCTGATGAGGAGCATGTCGTCCCCGCGGTAAGGGTTTTGCAAGAGCAACATGCGATCATTCTAGGCCATTTCACGCGGCAATACAAGATTATGGCGGAGTTGAAGCAGGCTGCCGGGGGACTTCGAATAATTCAAACAGACAAGATCCAATTCCTCCCGGTGTTCCCGCAAACCAAACAACGCAGAGAATTGACATCAGCACTCCCGGGGGTGAAGTTGGCTCCGACAGGGCTGGGGGAGCGGATCTGGTCTTAATAACGAGAACGGTTCTTTTAAGAATGAACTTTTAGTAAACTATCGCATGGACCAAATCCCGGGTGCACCACCAGAATTAAAGGGCTCGGACTCCAAGAAGTATAATCAATTGCCGTACAAGTCGAGCGCGATACCAGAATTAATCCTGAAGCGGTTAAAAATGCCCGAAGTTCCAAAGTATGACTTCAGACCCTCAAGAGTTACCCCCTACACACACTATAAGAATATTGACTTTTAGCGACCAAATTCCAACGAAGGGATTTGAGTCCGGTCGTTATAAGTATATTTATGACGACCAATTTTTTTTCGGTCGTCAAAATCAAATTTTAGTATAATATTAACGAAAGGATAATTTTTGGTCTTTAAAAATCATGAAATCCGGACGTTAAATATAAAAATTAGGCGCTAAATGTTTTCCCTCTTTTTTTGTAACCCATAATCAGCCCACACACCCCTCAACTCTCTTCCTTCCCCTTCACGAGTCCACACCCATCTTCTTTTACATTCTTCCATCTTGCTTTCTGAGAGGAAACTTTATCATTGCTATGGCCAGGACTTCTAGAATGGTTCCTCGGCAAAATGAAGCTACATCTTCTTCTCGGTCATCCAAGGAGAAATCCAAAGCGGTACCCACATTGGAATAATGCACTCCCTCCAAGCTTGATATGTCAAAATATTTTACCGTCGATACCATTTCATCCACACCGGGCCGATGTGAACATGTGTCCAAATACATTAGTGTCGTGACCAACATTGAAACAGTGAAGACGGACTGCCGATGGAGTGAGGCAGTGAAGGTGGAAATTCCCGGCCCTGATGAAAATATAACGGACTACAAAGCCAGCTTCCTTCATGTGTATACCTACCTATTAACCTTGGGTCCTGCGGATCCTCCTAAATCTTCTCCCCCGGAAATAAATCTGGTTATCATTGATTTTTGTGACAAATATCAAGTGATGCTCGGCTAGATCTATCCCTCTATCTGGAGGATAGTATTGATGCTCCTTCATTTCATCGAAGGGGTTGTGGGCGAGGTTTTTATCCTCAAACATTTGATAAGGTTGTACAGCCCTCGATTTTATCGAGGTTTGATAAGGCTCCATAATCGATAAAAAAAATCATTTTTCTCGAACATCAACGAGGGGAAGGACCAAGGATGGATGAGCAGGTTTGTCTGAGTAAGGACCTCGGACATCATTCCGGCCCAGAGGATGCCTTTCTCGGAGAGGTGGAACACACAGCGTAAGGGACTCTCCCTTAACCATGTTTTGTAATTTTCTTCCCTTTTCCCCGGAATGATGACCTCTTTGTCGTTTCATGCAACCGCTGTTTGGTACCCCGAGGCGGTTTCGGACTTTCCAGGGTGGATCAGACGGTTGGACACCGCGTTCCCATATCATGTTCGGTCTTGGACCTACCTGGCCAAGGAGCGATGGGTGGCCAATAATCATGGTAGAGCTTCTTTGCTGTCTATGTCTTAGGTTTACGTTTCTCCCTACGTCCCTTGTGCTGACAAATTACAGTTATCATGCTTGTGTAGGCCTTGGCGAGAATATGGAGATGAGGTTGCCCCTGGTGGTGGGTTGGAGGCTTCGGAGCCCGGCAAGGGCAAGAAGAGAGAAGGCAAGGCGGCTGTCGACCTTCCTACAACAAAGAAATCCAAGTCACTCGAACATCAAGCCACTACTAGGACCTCAACTTCAACTTCAGGGGCAAATCCTGACACCAAGGATGAGGATGAAGATGAATGCCAGTTGGCCCGGAAGACGATGTCGAGTGCGGGAGCCTCGTAGGTGCCTCGATCCGAGGCTGCTGAGTTTGGAACGGCCAACTCAGGTCGGTCCCGTAGACCATAGACCCTTGAAGAGGGTGTTAATGTGGCCTCAGATCGCATGATCAGGTTTGGCGTAATTTCCATTGGGGGGACCGCTGCCATCGATCCTGAAGGGTTAGGGCCCGAAGCTTTTCAGGAGTAGGGGTTGCCTTTTGGGGAAATCAGCGACATGAATGATTTCATCTCGTGCTTTCAGGTCTCGTCAGGGGAACTGAGGGACGCTTAAGAAGCGAATGCCGTCAAAGCAGGGATTCCTCTCAAAGGTGGAGGCTCTCTTGCTAACATCTTTGATAGTGTTAGCGATAGCATCAGTCTTGACGTTCCTGGCACCGTCAAGGTGGCGGAGAGATTCATGCAGCATGTGATAGCTATCTTTCGTATATTTTTTTTATATTTTTTTAGTCTTGGGCGTCATTCTTCGTCTTTCTAACTTTTTCGCTATGCTGCAGTGCAATGATATATATGATCATGCCCTCTTTCGGCTCCACGAGGAGCTTTCTTACCGTGAAAAGGAGTGTAAGAAGCTTACCTTGATACTGCGGGATTCGGAGGCTCACTCTGCCCGAGGAGAGAAAGAATTAGGAGAGCTCCGAGCTGCTTTGGAGAGAGCGCTCCGGGAAAAGGCTGATCATGCCACACAGGTATTTCTCCACGCTTGTACCCGACCTTTTCTCCTATATTCCGACACAAATTGGCTTACCTTTCTTTTGCAGGTCGAGCAAAATGGCTCATAGATTAGTCGACTGAATGTGGAGATCCTCAGGCTGAGGAAGCAAAGTGAGGTAGCTACTGAGGAGTTGGCGTCATCTCATGATCTTCTCAAGAATGCTTGCAAGGAGATTGCTGCCTCCAAGTCCTAGATTGAAAGAAATGCTGCCACTTATCTGGATGACGCAGCCATGATGCATAAAATAGCTCATTACGTATCTATAGCAGCCGAGCAGAAGCTAGCTCGAGCTATTAAACATGCTATGGTAGAGGCGAAGAGAGAAACCCTGGAGGAGATCAGAGCCAATGACATCGATCTGTCAGTTGATCTCGAGGAAGCCCGCGAACTGGAGAGAGAACTAGCACTTTTAATTGTCCCAGATGAGGGCGAAGATAGTGGTGATGAAGAGTAGTCCCCAAGTCGTTTTGCGTCCTTCCTTTTTCCTTTTGTATGCAGTTCACGGGGGATGGATTTTGTAAAGATGTCTCTTGTGGATACGTTTTTTGGCAATGTAAAAAGAGGGACTTTTCTTCTTTCCGTTTTTTTCCTTTGCTTTCGTGGATTTAAACTTTTAACTTTTGACGTTAGCCTTTCGAAATCTGTTCTTGGAGCGATCGGGACCCTCAAGTTAGGCCATGCCCCGGGGTTAAATCGACATCTTCTAACGGGCCAGTGCCGGCGATACCGAAGAGCCCCCAAGGCCTCGTAGTTTCTCGAATTCTGCCGAGTAGCAACATTTTCTCGACCTGG